GAGGACTGCTTCCATAAGTGTAGGACGTGGGGGTGCAGGTTTCCTTGCACAGATGTGAGGCAGACATTGCCATAACAAGTTTCACATAATGTACGATAGATAACGGGTCACACATCACTGTCTTTAAGTATGTCCAAATCTCCCCCAGCCTTGAACGACCATTTACCTCACTCGCTTCACTTTCCTCTTTGACTTACAGGCTCCTCTTACCACCCTTTACAGGTAACTTGCTTTCTTCTTTCCCCTTTCATCCTCCTCCCCTTTGTACTGAGGTATCACATGCATACAATAGCGTGCACAAATCTCAGATGAACAGCTTGATGAGTTTTTATGTCTGTACACACCTGTGAAACTACCACCAGAATAAGGTATTAAATATGTCTAGCCTCCCAGAAGGCTCCTTCCTCCCCGCTCATGTCTGTGCTTTTGCTGTTCCTCCTGCCTACAAAACTTTTCCACCAAGTACACATATGGTTCATTCTTTAACTCTGTGAAGTCTCTGCTTAAATGTCAACTTCTCAGTGAGGCCTGATCACCCTGTATAAAATTATAACACCTCTCACACTCTTTATCTTCTTTTTTAATTTTATTTTTCCTTTATCATTTTTCATGAATTATATTGTGTATATGTATATATATGCACCTATGTGTATGTATATACACACATATACTTTCCCTCACTGGAATGTAAATTCCATGAGGGCAGAGATTGTAACTATTTTGACATTTGTGTCCCTAATACCTATGTGGCTGGCACATAATGAACATTTAGTAATTATTTGAATTGAGTGGTTTAGTCATTGAGGGTGTGATGAGACAATCTTGTGCACAGCTGCCTAAAATCCCAAATGAAGGTAATTTCTAGACTGCCATTTTCTGTAAGTCAGGTGTAACTTAGAATCCCCCACCCTGCCTATCTACTTGCACCCTTATGTCTCTGTTCATTACAACTCAAGATCTAGCAGGAAGAAACAAGCACCAGGGTGTTGCAAGAAGCAACTCTCAGAGGGGTTGTATGACTGGCTGCAGCATCTCAACAAAGAGGAGCCAACGAGGATCTCTCCACCCAGCATGGAAATCCAGCAGCTCAAGGTCTGAAGGGACGAAGACGTTAATTAACCTATTGCTGGTGACCCGCGGGGGATGGCTGTTGTGTCTACTGAAGCTGAGAAGTTGGGGCGCTTGGTTGCTGACTTACCCAAGTTCAATGCATCAGGAGATTAAGGATAGGGGAACTGGTTGAGTACGTTTTACAGTGCGTTAGGAAAGCAACAACTACTGGTCCCACATTGCCTGGCTGTGACTGTTAAAGAAACAGAAGGAACACTGCACTAAGAGCACTTGTGAAGACTAGGTTCAGAAACTCATTAGACACGTTGCCAAATCGCAGCATCAGCTGAATTCTCTCACCCATGCTGGGGGTTCATGAGCACCATTGTCAGTCCTGTTTGACAAAGACTGTGATCCTGCTCACAGAAGTGGGGGTGGCTGGGAAGAGTCCAGGGACCTAGGATTCCTGGAGAACCTGGCCTATCTGAAGCACTTCTCCCCTGCTGCTCCTTTCCACTGGGAAAACCTAACGACTCGGCGCAATATGCAGCATGATCTGCAGCATGATCAAGGTCCAAACGTGGCTTGAGCCTAAGGACAACTGTCATAAATAGTAGAGGGAACAGATCAATTATGCCCAAAATGAATAGGAAGAATTATCCAAGTTATACCAGAAAAAGTCGGGAAAGACTATGCACAGATTTGCAAGTGTTTGACAAGAACAAAAGTACCCATTTGGATCCTGCAGCATTGGTTGCTATGGTGAGGCCTCATCTGAGATGCTGTTCGATGTGTTCCTGCAGGATGAAACTCTAATGGTTTCTTGGGTTGGCTGATTCAGACCTTGGCCCAGGGCTGACCCATGCTGTCTGGCAAGAAAGAGGCGATTGTGAGCGAGACGACAGACAAAGAGAAGTAGAGACTGCAAGAAGGGCAGGAACTTAGACTGTGCCACAGGCAGGTTGTGGAGGAGAGCGCATTCCCGTAGAGCTGGCTTGAAACCCGAATGGTGGCATTTCCTGGGTTTCCACGAGATTCCTTTCCCTTATTACCAAGTGTATCCTTATTAAAAACAAAACAAAACATGACTTAAGATAATATTTGGTATCTGGCTGCAAGTCAGAAAAGTCTAAGTAAAACAGGAAAGGAGCTCTTATAGAAGGAGAAATGCAAGGAGGAGAATGAGAGAAGGGTGGGTACCCTAAGCCTGTATGTTTTTATTGACTACTCTTATTTCTGAAAACTTTTCAATTTGATTCTGCAACATTGTGTTCCCATATTTCTTTTCTTTCCTAGAATGATTCATAAACTTATGGAACTGAAGGGAAATTGGAGTGCATTTACTTAGCACATTAAAAAAGCAATGAGACAATGGAGGCCCATAAAGAAATTTGCTTTTTATTCCATTTCCTTCATTGGTGATTTTCTTTTTCTCACCATTTAACTGTGGATGTTCTTGAATAATCTGCCCCCTTTCTCCCACTACACTCATCATTTCAGCCTCCAATTATACATGGATCCACTCTTAAATTTTAATCTTAAGTGCTGAATTCTTTCCTACTCTATAGAATTAGACTTCCAATTATCTATGGAAAGTATACTTGTAAGCTTCACCAGTGCCTCAACCTCAACAGGGTTAAAATTGGAATCACTTTCCTTCTTCCTCTCTCAGCTTCTCCAACACTATTCTTAGTATCATCGTGCTTTAAAAAAGGCTCCTTGTCTTAAACTTCATCTTTAATTTCAAAATATTTCAATCATACTGAAAAAAGTATAAAGAATAATATAACAAATATCCATGTCTCCACCACCTAGAATTAGTATCTTGCCATATTTGCCTCAGACTTAAAAAAAAATATAGATCCAGTTGGGAGTATCCTACCCCATCCAATTTGCTCCCTCTGAAAAGGTCACTGTCCTTCTGAAGTGAGTTTCTCCCAGAAGCAGAGCCTGAGATGAAGGCTGATGAGCCTGCAGAGCAGGTGTGGGAGGTGCAGGGACACTGGCAAGGGAGTGGGGAGGTGGTTCAGGGAAGGAGAGGCCGCCACCACTGCAGGCAACTGCAGCTTACTCCTTCAGGGAAGCTCTAGGAAATGGTGAGACAGCCTGGAATTATCCTGGCTGATGAATGATGTAGCTGGAGTATTTATATCCCCACGCCCATTATGCATTGAGTGGCTGGGCACTTCCAGCCTCCATGAGTGAGGGCAAAGCGAGTTCTGGCAGCCTGAGGGCAGCCCTTTTGACAAAGATGTTGGCTACTGGAAATTAGGCTGGTGCACACAAGAATGGTACGGACTATAAGGGGATATGGGTGAAATACTGAGCGCATCTGTGACAGTGCGTATCCATCCCGTTGACATTGTTCTACGTTTACTGCAATACTTAAACATTGTTCACAAGCTTATAATTCCACGTCCTACTTAAAAAATAATAAAAAGTAAACATTGTTAATTTTTATGATATTATATGACATTACTAATAACATTAACAATGACGATGATAAAGGAAAATAGTGACTGTAAATATAAACCAGTTAACATGAATAATCTGCCCCCTTCCTATGAAAAAGGAAGATTGTTTGAGAAAATAACTTCAGTTCAAAGAGTTAACTATTTATGGTATTTATTATCACGTGCCTGATGGATCTCCTCTTTATAGAAAGCAAAGGAAAGAAATAAAATGCATACCACAGCTTATTTTTGTTTGGTTCTATACTTCATTAGACTTTGACAAAATACGATTTTCTCCCTCATCTTCCTTCACCTTCTACTTCAAGATTGCAGGGTTATCAGGCTTAAACTGTGATTGAGATAGAAGATTATACGTCTTTGCTAAGAAGACTATATACGATCAAAAGTGTCTTAGAATATTTTCTTCTTAGCTGCAACTCACTGGCCTTTCTCTTGAAAGGAAAAAAAGGTGCGTGTGGTGTGTGTGTGTGTGTGTGTGTGTGTGTGTGTGCGCGCTGTGTGTGGTGTTTGTGGGAAGGTGCATAATGAAGACAAATATCAACCCATATCAGGGCATTTCAAATCATTCAGCAAAACCAGGAACAGTTGGCCTTCATTATACCTTACAAACAAAAGAACCCCTGATTTAACAAAATAAACTTCAAAACAATATGTCTCCTATTCTCTTCTGCAGAGACCAAAAGGATTTAAAATAATCTCTAAATAATACTCCTCATAGATTCCAGTATGAGACAAACAGAGGCTTCCCTCTTTAAGAACTAGCAGACAGAGAAAAATCACCAGACACATGAAAAGATCCCACAGTCCAGTAGGATCTTTCGGAAGAATCAGAACAAACAGTCATTTGTAAATCAGATTCCGTTAAGAAGGAAAAGCTCAAAAAAGAGCAACTCATATTGAGATTCAAGGAGATACCCACCAAATTTCATATTTCAAATACAAAATGATTACAGAATTTGAAAACCCTTTGGCTGTAGTGAACAGAGTGGATTTAGATCAGAGATCAAACAACCAGCAATTAAATGTGTATAAAATATATTGTGAAAAGAATTCTGGAAGCAGCATAAATTTCAGATTTAAAAGAGCAGTAATGTTTTCATAAAGTAATCCCCTACTGTTTGTTCTACCTGATTCCATTTCCATATAAAAACAAACTTTATGAAAATAAATACAAAAATACTGTATTATATGCCAGCACATTTAAGCAGCGAGTAGGATTAGGAAAAGAGAAAGATCACATAGAATCCATAGTACTTGGACTTTTAAAAAAATATCTTCATTAATCTGTTGGAAGCTTTGACTCTTCCTTATAGAAAACTGTACATTTGTACAAAACACAAGATTGGCATAAAATTTCAGGAATGCATGGGCTTCCTAAAGCCCCAAAGATCCTAGAAGTCAGCCTATCAACCCATTAGTGGTCCATGAGCAGCAGGTTAAGAATCTTTCATTCAGAGAGAAGCACAAAGTACTTACGTTGTACAGAGGGATAGTCTTCATCACCTTGTACTGTTTAGTGGGATCCATTTTATACAGGTGACGGTCAGTGACAAAAATTGCTCGGTCTTCCACCTTACTAAATCGATTCACCTGTAAGAGAACAAGCCAATAAACCATAGCATTAATATCTCTTCACGAATGAAACCAAGTTGGCTGAGTGGAGACAAATTCTGCACTAGAAGTGTACCATGTATGGCAACTCTAATGGATGCAATAAAGATCTAAAAGGAGTGGCAGCTTCCAGATTTGTGGAATTTGGCAGTTGAAATCTGACAATTTTACAATTTAACAAGGAAAATAGGAAAACCACAAAAGAATTAAAGGACTAAAACCATGTAACCCAGACACCATCAAGGAAGTGAAAAGACAAACCTACAGAATGGGAGAAAATTTTTGCAAGTGACATATCTGATAAAGGACTTGTATTTAGAATATATGAAAAACTAATATAACCCAATAATTAAAAGACATAACCCACTTACACAGAGGAATGACATGAAGCCCTTGGTTATAATAAGAAGTTGAGACTAGTATATGGGTATGAGACAGATAAGAAACCAGTAACTAAAAATAATTTCATATAATTATATAAGGAAAATAAAGCTAGATAATGAGAGTGGAAGAAAATATGTGTGTGTGTGTGTGTGTGTGTGTGTGTGTGTGTGTGTGTGTGTTTCTGTAGAGTGCTGCTTTATTAGACAGAGGATCATGTGGGACAGAGAATGTCCACATTTGCAGGTAAATCTTTTCCTAAGAGACAGAATTAACCACAGGACATTTTATAAATAAGTAGTTAGCTTCTTGTTAATTAGGATGTTCAATCTTAGACTTGAAACATTCAAGGTATTAATATTTCAATCAAGGTATCTAGCACTAAAAATCTTCAAACTGTTGCCATGCCATATTTTTCAGTGATCAGAAGGAAAAAGAAAGCAAACAAAAATAAACAAAGACCTAAAAAACTCTCTCCAACTAGAATAGAAGGCATAGTTGTGATATACATATCCCCCCAACCCCTCTTCCAAGTTCTTATTTACAAGATGCAATCAAAGATGTTAGAGATTAATTTAAAAGCATTGGTAGCTTCAGTAGGATATTCAGATAACCAAATTAGGATACCCAAGATATAGCAAACTGAAATTCAAATATTAGTTTGAATTTTATTCAATCTTCTCCTTTTTGCCTCATAGTTTTAGAAATCAGTCAATTCTCTAAACATTTCTTTTATAACCAATGCATATGTTTTAGTTTTCGACTTGACAAAAAATGGTGTCTGTAATTAAAAGAAAGTCTATGTGGTGAAATAATTATTACTCTTAATAAATAACTTCTCATAGCAACAGTTTTTGCCATAACAGATGACTGGCACTTGTCAGAAGACTGGAAAGTAGGTAAGTGAAGAGCTTCTGTATCAGCATTTTTCTAAGTTGTTCTGCACAACACTAGCCTTATGTAGAGCTTTGCAAAAGAAAGGGTTCCATGGGCAAGTTGGTTTGAGAAACACTGTAAACCACAGCCTCCACTAGGATATTCATAACCCATGAATATATTAAAGTCTCTGAGAATTCTGTACTTAACGAGCATGTTTAACCTGGTATTTCTAAAATACTTTTAATTATGAAACCCTTTTTCAACAAACACCTATTAATGTTCAATAGAACATTGGTTCTAATAAAAACCCATGTTGGAAAAACACTAATCATCGTTTATATCAATCTTAGAATATGTAGAATAGAGAACATCTAAAATAGAAACTGAATAATAAGTAAAAGTCATGCTCCTCATCTTCTGTGGAATCATATTGAAAATATATAAGTGTAGTGCAAAAAGAATATGATTAAAAAAACTTGTTACATAATTTCACAAGGTCACTCCAGAGTCAAAACAAGTAGGTCCTACTTATATCCTTTTTATATGTCCATGAGTAAATCTAAAAAACAACAAATAAAAACCTCAAAGCAACAATTGTTTTGAAGCTCTGTTTAGAAATATTACATTCTTTTATGTGCAAAAAATGTAATTTCTAAAGAGAACACACTAAAAATCTTTACCTTCTGTTTAAGCAGCTCAAATTATCCCTAAAACATGAATCGAGTGAGTGGGAGGACAAGTAAAGTAAAAGCCTTCGGTTGCATAATTTAGCTATATCAAAACAACAGAGTAAAAAAATTTTACATACATATATGTACATCCTGGATTTAATTTAATTTAATATAATTATGGTATAGGAACACTATTTTCTTCCACTTAAATTCATAAAGTAAAAGGAAAACTCAATTATAGACTCAGTATTTAATAAGATCTCATCTTGTTTCTTCTATTATCCAAAGCTAAAATCTTTGACCAAAGATAAAATCCGTACCATCTTGTTTTTCCCTAAACACTTACAAGTGATCTGTTTAGAGGTTTAGTCAGTACCACAGGGGGCCACAGATAAAGTTTCCTTGGAGAGTCAGACAATTATGGGTGAGAGTAGCTACTTGCAGAAGTCTTCTACCTTAGAGGATGTTTTATAACTGTGGTTGGTTAATGGAAAGTGGCTGTTTCAAAAAGAATCAAGCATAAAGCAAAGGGCTTTTCTGAAATCGTATCAAATGTATCCTTGGCAATGAAAGGTTTCTAAAGAAGACATTATTTAAGCTAAAGAAGACATTACTTAAGTGTGAGGAAAGAGTATTTTGCATTGAATTTACAAATACAGGAGCATGAATGTTTCGGGTTTTAATCAAGCAGGACGCAGAGAGAGACCTACTCTCTCTAGGACATAGAGTTGTCATTGCCAGAAAGATAGAGATACTAGACTTTTCAGCAGAAGATGACTTGATTCTTAAAACCATTCAATTTTCTTTGTTCAACTGTTCTACTTACTAATTTGACTTCCCAGATAACTTGATAAATAGAAAGGGGGTATACTAGACAGAGGATTTGAGAACTCACCGAAATGGTACATTCCTTTGTTACATTCACAAACTGGCATGATGGCTTATACATTTTTGTATGTGTGAATCTGGTTAGCGAAAGTCTTTTCTTAATTGTCTGATCAACTCTAGGGTACACTCGAGTTTCTGGACCTTAGAGCTCAGAATTAAACTCTAGAGTGCAGTAACCATGCCAAGATATTGCCAGCAATCTTTCCTTGATGACATTTATTTCATTCTAACTTTAAAACTTGCTGCTTTCTATTTTGTTAAAAAGCCTATATTATATTGATTTGAACTCTTCTTCCTTATGACATCCAAACACTACAATATAATAAGAAATACATATTTGGTCTGTGTCCTGGTTCCTGATACAGAGCTCCCAAAATTCTTGTGATTTTATGATGGGGGGGTAGGATCATCTTTTGTTACAATGTTTAGTCTTAGTCCCAGGGTCCTGACACAAGAGCTTCTCACTGCTAATGAGGTGACTGGTGACTGGAGCCTCCTAGATAGTTTCAGGATCGGGGCTGGTTGCCAGGAAGACCAAGGCATGATTAGAGAGTCAGAACTTTCAGCCCCATCTGCTCATCTCCACGGAGGGAAGAAAGGCTGGAGATTAAGTTAATTGCCAATGATTTCATCAATCATGCCTATGTAATAAAACCTCCATACACCCTAAACTGTGGGGTTTGCAGAGCTTTTGGGTTGGTGGAGGCATCTACATGCCAAGAAGCCACAATCTTTGTCTTGAAATTGTGGTGTTTAGACCACTGACATTTAGTGTGATTATCCATATGGCTAGGTTTAAATCTGTCATTTTTCAATTTGTTTTCTATTAGTCCAATTTGTTCTTTGTTCCCTTTCCCACATATTAGGCCACGTGAAGCTGTCTGACAGCTTCCTCATGCTTTGTTTTGTTTTGAGTCTTTTTATCTCTCTTTGTGTTTAATTCTGGGTAGTTTGTTTTATTGCTGTATCTTCAAATTCACTACTCTTTCTTCTGCAAACTTTAATCTGCTGTTAATCCCACTGAGTGTACTTTTTCTCTCATTGTGATTTTCATCTTTGTAAGTTCACGCAGGTCGTTTCTAAATCTCCCATGTGTTTATTTAACATGTTCAATCTTTCCCCTAGCTTTCTGAAACTATGGAATACAATTATAATAATTGTTTTAATGACCTTGTCTGTTAATTCTATAATCTGGGTCAGTTCTGGGTCAGTTTGAATGATTGATTTTTCTGCTCATTATGGGTTGTAGTCTCCTATTGTTTTATGTGTCTGGTAGTTTATTTTTTTTTCTTTCTTTTTTTTTAGAGAAGGGGTCCCACTCTGTTGCTCAGGCTGGAGTGCATCAGTGTGATCATAGCTCACTGCAACCTCAAACTCCTGGGCTCAAGAGATTCTCCTGCCTCAGCCTCCTGGGTAGCTGGGACTACAGGTGCATGCTTACGACACTTGGCTAATTTCTCTATTTTCTGTAGGGACAGAGTCTTGCTGTGTTGCCCAGGCTGCTCTTGAACTCCTGGCCTTAAGTGATCCTCCTGCCTCGGCCTCCCAAAGTGCCGGGATTACAAGTACAAGCCATTGCATCCAGCCTGTCTGGTAATTTTTGATTAGACGTCATGCATTCTGACTTTTACCCTCTAGGTGCTAGATATTTTTATATTCCTATAAACATTTTTGAGCATGGTTCTGGGATGCTGTTAGGTTACTTAGAAACAGTTTGATTCTCTCTGGTTGTGCTTTTTAGATTTATTGGGTAGGATCAGAGCAGTTTTTGGTCAAGGGCTAATTATTCCTCCCTACTGAGGCAAGACCCTTGTCAGTACTCTTCACCCAATGCCTCATGAATCACGAGGCTTTCCAGTTCGGCTGGTAGGAACAGGCACTATTTGCAACCCTGTGCCAGTAGTGGGAACTGTTACTTCTAATCCCCTTTGGGTTGTTCTTTCCTAGCCTTGAGTCATTTTCTCACATGCATGTGCTGATCGGTACTTAGCTGAATATTTGAAGTGGATCCTCTTAAGATCTACGGGCTTTTCTCACAGTGTCACTTTCTCTTCTCTGGTACTCTACTCTGTGAATCTAGCTGCCTTGGTTTCTCCCAGCTGTCAGCTTTGTCTTTTCAACAGGGAGTCTACTGGGCCCTGCCTTGGCTTCCCCTTGCTCCTGCCACGGACTGGAAAGTCTCTCTAGGCAGAAAGCTAATGGTAAGGCTCACCTCATTTTTCTCATATTTAGGAATCACTGTCTTTCCCTGATGTCCACTGTCTTGAAAACCAATGTTTCACACATTTGGCCCTCCCCCAACATACATCCTTTTCACATTCATTTTAACAACTACACTGTCTTCTACTGTGCACATAATCTATTAATCCAATCACTTAATGATTCATATTTACAATTTCTAGTTTTTTGGGTGTTACATTGTACAAACCTGTACACATATATATCTTTGGATATCTGTGAAAACATATTTTTAGGGTAAATCTGAGTTGTAGAATTCCTAGATTAAGTAGTATGGACACTTTACATTTTGATAGATACTGCCAAATTGTCCATTCGAAAAGACTGTCTCTTATACTCCTACCAGTAGTTTTTCCTTAAATCCTCACAAACATTGGTCAAACACTTCAAAGTCTGCCAGATTTTAGTTGAAAAATATTTCATTATTTTGATCTGAATAATACTGTAATTATATATTTTTTTAAAAAAAGATTTGAAATGAAGCATCTGTAAAGCTACCTAAACTTGGACCTTTGTTACAAGGTTAATTCTTTAATAATTTTCTTAATTCCTCCTTTGGATACTGTCGTATTTATGTCAGCATCTCTTCTTGGGTCAACCTAGGCAATATTTTTTCTTAAAGTTGCCATTTCATTAATATTTAAAAATTCGTTTGGATAATTTTACAATTTCAATTTCTTCTCTTTATATTCTTCTAAATGAGTATTTTAAGGTTTTTAAAAATCTGCTGTGTCCCTTGCCTTCCACTTTCCAACTTCCACATTCCCACTGGCCCAACTGCTGTCACCTCCAGGTAAATGACAGTTGACACATCCTGCTTCAGACAAGCAAATGGACTCTAGCATGTAACCTTCCCCCCACCTTTGAAATCTCAAAATGTCTTATTCTTCTTTTCCAAACTATGTTCTTCTTCCCCTCAACCCTGTTTTTTAAAAAATACAGTAATGATATATGTATAAAAAGTACTAAATGACCATTAAATACAAAGCAGATCCATAGATGCTATGAAAGATACACATGCAATAAAATACAAATCCCTGGCCTCAAGGAGGCCCCCACCTTGTTTTAAAAAGAAATGTTTATTAAAAATATTCACTTCCCTTAGGAAGGCTTAACAGCCTAACTCTAAAATTGTAATCTCAGCCATGCCAACAATGCTTTAGCACAGACAAGTATAGCTCACTGATGATATAGCTAGTTATGTAGCTAGTTATATTTTATTACAGGCATACTTAAGTGAGTTTCATCTGAATTAGTCTTTTTTTTTTTAAAAAAAAAACCCCATTCTTGCCTCCATCCCTGAATCAGCCTTTTCTTTCCAAGATGATCTGTTTCAGGCTTGCCTTACCTTACGGACATGACAGGAAAAGAGGACATTCATGTATTTGTCCTTCCGTTTCAGTTCATTAGCAACAGGGACAAAAGTGCCTGAGGTCTGAGGTGTATCTGGCTTCTGAAAGAAAAAGGAAACAAGTTAAAATGAGTATGCTTTGCATTTTAGATAAAAAGGCAATCTTTTAGCATATTGCTTTATAACTATACTTACATAGTTTCACACATGTACTTTTTATCTCCTCACTCCAGATAGTAAGCTACTAAATGGTTGTTATCACATCAAAAGTCCTATAAAATTTTAAAAATAGAGAATGGAAGAGAGGAAGAAATGTAGCTCTGGGAAGAACTATAAAGGTGGTGATTAAAAATAGTTGCTGAGTTATGCAAGGCAAGGTTTAAATGGTCAAAGGCCAGGTTAATGGAGTGTACCTAACACATGTGGATATAACACAGAGAACCCTTTCAAAAGTGGGGGAAACATTAAATGTCGTACATTTCGAAGCAACAAAATCTTCTAATTTAGTATCTCTCACAGATATTTAGTTTTGAAAGGTGTTTTCTTCTTCCTGCAAATTCTTGAAGAAACATTCTTCCCTTTCCAAAGAGAGCAGGAGTAGATTCTACTTTGTTCTCCTGGACTTACCGAAGCAAGGTAGTTGCCTTCCCAGGCTCTCTGAAGCCCAAGGTCAGCCCTTTGACCCTTCAACATTTCCATGGCTGCAACCTTTGCCCTGACCTGGGGCAGGTCTGAAACAGAAATGCTCTTGATGAGCTGGGATGCTCTCCATCTACAAATAAATAAATAGAATGTATTAGACTTCAGAAATGTAATCTCATTCATTCCAAAACATAACTGAAGCTGCTATTAAAGTAGAATGAAACCAAAGTACACGCATGTTACACTAAATAAAAAGGTAAAATGTCCCCAAAATATAGAGATGTTGTTAAAATACACATAGTTTTATGTAGATAGATATTTTCTAAAACTTGCTTTGTTGTTTGTGTGTTTTGAAAGCAACTAAAACTTAGTGATATATGGTCTCTCATAATATTTATATTTAGGACACAGAAAATTTGGATTTATCATTCATTCATTCAACTAATGTTCTCTAGGCACCTGCTAAACTCCAGATGCTGTTCTAGGCAGTGGGGGTACAGCAATAAGCAAAACAAAGGTCCTGTCTGCCAGGTGCTTGTATTCTAGAGAGGAGTGACAGGCAATAAATACACAATGAGTAGATACACAGAATGTATGATGGTGATGGGTGCTATGGGGGAAAACGAGACAAGGAAAGGAGGGCGGGGAGAGCAGCAAAGGGAAGGAATGGGGAGCGAGCACGGTTTCTGCAAGGTAGTCCCGGTGGGCACCACCAGTAAGGACAGATGAGCAGAGACCACAGGAAGTGAGGGGCTGGTCATATGGAGATCTGAGCAATAGTGTTCTAGGTAGTGAGCACAACAGGTGCAAAGACTCTGGGATGTGAGCTTGCTTGGTGCGTTAGAGGAGCAGTGGGAGGAGGAGAGAACATCAGGAAGAGCAGTCTGAGGGAGAGCCATGAGACCTTTACCAGGACTCTGGCCTTTACTGGTAATGAGATGAGAAGCCATGGGAAGTTTGTGAAAAAAGAAGGGATGCGAACTGACCTGCCATGCTTTAAAAGGATCACGATGATTGCTGTAGGCTAGGAATAGGAAGACCTATTTGGAGGCTGGCTCTGTAATGCACACGCTAGAGGAAGGTGGCTTTGATCAGGGAGGTGGTGGTAGAGGTGGAGGTAAGGGTTGGTTCTGGGTATGTTCTGAAGGAAGAGCCAACAGGATTTGCTGATGGGTTAGATGTGGAAGCCAGGGAGGATTTAAGGACGACTGCAAGATTTTTTGGGGAGGCAACTGAAAGCATTAACCCAAAATAACCTATTCCTGACTGAGAAAAACAGGTATAAGTTTTTTATGCTCTTAGCAGCATGCTAGCTGTAGATGATACTTATATCCTCTTTTCTGCCACAGGAGCTTGGAGCAGGGAGGTTGGAAGCAAACTGAGAACTTCCTTTTAATCAGATGAATATTCAAGGCCCACAATTCTCAAACTCTGTTCCCATGGAATACTAGAACAAGATTTAACTAAACTGAAAATTCCCACTGAAATAAATAAATATAAAAATAAGGAAAAATCTATACCACCCTCAGAAAATGGGAATGATGTCAATAAATTGGAGGGTGTGAAATATTTCAGGAAGACATGAAGCAGACAGGATCGGGCTGAGGGACAAGTGGCTCAGGGCAGAACAATCCACTCAGTGGAAGGAGAGGGAGCCTTGGGCATTGATGGTTTTTATGATAAAGTCCAGAGAATCCTAAAGCCTGAAGCATCAGAAGCCAGTAGCAAGGGCAGGAGGTATAGGATTTCAAGGTGGGAGCTGTGCCAGTTCCCTGGTCGTGGAATGGCCGCGGTGAGGTAGGACCTCTGCCATGGCAGATAGGGTCTGAGATAGCAGGCTGCCGAAGCAACAGCCATGAAATAGTAAGGGCTCAATAGAGCAGTGAAACCCTCTCCTCTACTTTCTATGGCCAACCAACGCTCCAGTGAGACAGACCGTCCTAAGATCATTCCAGAAGAGGCTGGACAAATGACAGGTTTAGCACAAATTGGTTGTCAAAGCCAAGGACACTGGTGACAGGTGGGCCTGATGACATTCAGTGGCTTGCTAAGCAACTGCCCCAACTTTAGCCCTTCAGCTCCACATTTCATTACTGGTGGGGAGACATCTCTGCTCTGTCTGCTGATCTGTCTCCAGTATACATGTCTGGTCGGCCTGGCCCTTCTTCACTGCCCACAGTGGCCCAGGACAAAGTCCATCCCTGACTGACTCCAGATGCCCACAGAAGCACGTGGGGGGATCTGGGCCTTGACCTACACAACCACGGAGGGAGCCACCCAGCCTTCCTGTCCTGATCAAGCAAACCGCCATCTATAAATACATATAGCTAACAACAGCTGCAGCCATAAAAATCACCAGCCTCAGTGACATGAAAAGAGGACAAAGCTGGGCACGAAGAAGGCTCAATTAAAAAGAATTACTGTGAGGAAAAGCAATGATCTTAAACATGATTAGATGCACAGTGAGATTTTAGAAAAACAAACATAAGAACCCTACAATCACGGTGCAGTTCTTTAACGCATTTCTCTCTGTATTCCACAGATCAAAAAATTCCAGAGAGTGACTAGACCAGGGGTTGGTAAACTACAGCCTGTGCCAAATCTGGATCACGGTCTGTTTTTGTTCTGCCCATGAACTAAGAATAGTTTTTACATTTACATATGTTTAAGAAAACCAAAACAAAACATAGAATATGTGACAGAGATCATCTGTAGACCTCAAAGCCTAAAATATTTACTGCTTGGCCCTTTCAGAAGAAGTTTGCTGACCCCTGAACTAGATGAACACAACCAGCAAGATTCATTCAGAGTGTGTGTGTGCACGCATACGCACGCGTGTGTGTGTGTGTGTGTACACACAACAGACCAAGCAGACACACTATTTTCAAATGCCATTGTCTGTTTTTCTTGGTTGTCACCATATCCTTGGAACCTAGGTCAGGGCCTGCAACACAGCAGGCATTCAGTAAATACTTGCTGACTGAATGAATTGAATTTTATATAAATTAATCAATTCTAGGCCACAAATATTAATAAAACATCAAAGGACTAAAAAACAATCTTCTGCAGCCATTCAAAATCTTATGTTGATCTTTATTGTCATGGACAGGTCCCCAAGACCTATTTTTTTTTTTTTTTTTTTTTGAGACAGAGTCTCACTCTGTTGCCCTGGCTAGAGTGAGTGCCGTGGCGTCAGCCTAGCTCACAGCAATCTCAAACTCCTGGGCTCAAGTGATCCTTCTGCCTCAGCTTCCCGAGTAGCTGGGACTACAGGCATGTGCCACCATGCCCGGCTAATTTTTTTCTATATATTTTTAGTTGTCCGATTAATTTCTTTCTAATTTTAGTAGAGGCAGGGTCTCGCTCTTGCTCAGGCTGGTCTCGAACTCCTGAGCTCAAACAATCCGCCTGCCTCGGCCTCCCAGAGAGTTAGGATTACAGGCGTGAGCCACCGCGCCCGGCCCCCAAGACTTATTTTTAAATAAATCACATAACCACACATATAATCTTGCTTTTGTAAAAAAGTGCCCAAATGACACGTGACTGTGTAAAAAGCCTGCCATGATTGAAAACCAATATTTATAGTATTATATCTGAGAATTGAGGTTGAGGTACTTTGCTTTCAATAATTCTTTACTGTTTGAGTTTTTTTCTTTTTATGAGCAATTATTTATTTTTTTAAAAAGCAAATGAGATACATATTAAAGAGTTTTTCTTTCATACATTTTGCCTTATCTTTTGACACCTTCCACTGATTCTATATAGAGCAAAATCTAAAGAAGACAAAATCTGATTTAGCACAGAATTATACATTAGTTCTTTTATATTCAATATATCAACCAGTTGACAGTGTTCTTTATGGAGTACCATGACACCAAATGACTACATTTCAGAACTAATAGTTTCGTTTATGTGACTAGATGGCTATATCTAAGACACAGCTAAATATATCTAGTACATACCAGCAACAAATAAGCTCAAAAAATGAGGAGAAAGGACTTAGGAATAACTACATACTCAGATCCAGGGTAGGTTATAAAAAAATGATTAGTTGGAAAGGTACCAAATTTTACATGGGTGTTCATTTATTTAAAAGACAGCTTGCTCTAAAACAGTTGTTTTCCCCTTTGGCTGCACTTTAAAACATGTGGGAAACTTTAAAAAGGATCTCTGCCTGGCCCCAGCCCCTGCTCCATTAAACAGGACCCTTGGAGGTAAGGCCTGGGCATGTTTCATAAGCTCCAGATATTCTGAGGTACAGCAGGATTGAGAACCACTGCTCTGAAAGGGTTGATGGATTTTCTAGTTTAGTTATGTGTGGTGATTTTATTTTTTGCTAATGAAAGAAAGCGGAGACGGCATGCTGGTAGCTTATCTTAAACATGGCTTGGATCCAGGGTTTGTGACATATTGTCAACTGCTACAGGAAAAAGAAATTGACAGTTACACTATTTTGAGAGGTGAGCAGATGCCCTTGGAAAGCAAAATCTACAAAACTGAAGACATAAGGTAAAGGTAAATGTCATAACAGTAAATAGCTGAGCCAAAATCATGGTCTCAGATTTGTGACTTTATATAGTATTAATTGGGCTGCCATAAATGGACGTAGCACATTGCAACAAGTTCTTACCTATTAAAAATCGCCTGTAGGGCATCCTCGAAACGGCGAAGAACCTTAGGAGGGGTTGGCCACTTCACATGCTTCCCGTAGTCTCTCATGGTCTTGACCCCGTGGAAGCGCCTGGCTACCTCATGGATGTATGACTTCACTTTGTAGCGCCGGTAGTACCTGATTATTGTCAGAGCTGCCTTGGTTCTCTTGTACCGCATGCGGGCCAGGGTGCCCCGCCACACCTTCACAGTAGAGAAAGAAAAAGGAAAACGTTGCTGGCTGAATCGTAGATGACTTTGACATTACAGAAGCACCTATACTTACAAACAACCAGTCAACTCGCATGTGTGCATAAAATCAGCCAGTCAACTCGTATGTGTGCACAAACTCAACCAGTCAACTCGAATGTGTGCACAAACTCAACCAGTCAACTCGCATGTGTGCACAAACTCAGTCAACTCGCATGTGTGCAAAAAATCAGCCAGTCAACTCGTATGTGTGCACAAACTCAACCAGCCAAGTCGCATGTATGCACAAAATCAGCCAGAGCCAAAGCATGGCAATTCTACTTGCCACCAATAGATGGTGTTGGGAGTCACATTGGTCCTTTTGTTTCAACCGTCCAGCTGTTCATTATTCTACACTCAAGTGTGTGCTGGGTTTGAAGCTGAGTCCCATTTTAACTTTATTGTCATGGAAAGAAGAAAGCCAAAATGCAGATATCTTTGGATAAATATTTTAGGAATGTTGAAGGGAAGCAGGATGAGTCAGAACCAAATGCCTTAAGTATCTATAGTTCTCTTGTGAAACCCAGCTTTACACAGATTATACACACTGGCCACACTAGTGTAATGCCACTTTGGATTTGCACACTGATTTACACACAGCCTATGCACACCCCCACTTCCCAGTGCTGTGTAAACTCCAAAGAACTTAGATGTATTGCTGAGGAAATGGTAAAATAGATTACGCACTAATACTACGTGAATCTTTGTTAAATGTTTTTCCGTGCTCAGACATCATAGATGATATATATATGATATACATAATATATAAATGTTTCAATGCCAACTTCATCCAAGCATGATGAAGTCAGAGATGCCTATGGATTTTTCAGGATCCCTTGTCCAAGTACCCATATTTCTCAACTTCTCAAGCAAAAACAAAGTTGACATGATCTTCAATTAACCACTGGCTCTTCCCCTATATCTCCTCTCTATCACCAAATTTACTCCTTCCACAATCTTTTCAGTATAAACCCCTTTCTTTTCCTTTCTGCTACCAGAGTCTCCAAGACCCCAGGTGACTCTAATCACTTTCTTTGATAAACTCCTGTACACATCCTCATTGTGTCCAGTTGATAGTTACTGCTGCTACTTAAATAACCCTTCCAATTCTTAGGGTGACTGTATTGTTTCCCTCCCTAGTCCCTGGCCTTTCAGGGACAAGATTTTCAACCTCTAGTTCAAAGCCCACAGTATGGTTTCCCCAAACTTCCTCAGGTTTCCTTTATTTCTTTTTAAATCCCCATCTGTGCCCACCAGTTTCTCTCAGAAAAACTTGTGCAACACCTCTTTTATTCAGTTGTTTTAGGTTTGTCGTCACGCAGACTCTCGAACTGGCACCACGTGCTTGCAGCCCGCTGCATAATAGAGAGAGGTTTGTTTGCATACTACACGTGAGGAGGTCATCAAGGGATCCCAACGGGTCCAGAAAAATCATAACCCCATACGAGAAACATGACATAGAAGGAATTTGTGATGGCAATCTAGAATTTGCATATAAATAGAATATTTAAAGACAATGAAGCAATGAAACTAACTCTATCTCACGTGGCATCAGTACAGAAACCTTTTTTAGTCAAAATGGCTCTCCTCCTTGTAGCCAAATCCACTGTACAGATGGCTTTGTTACGCCTCCATCCAAGTGCTAAATTAAAGGTCCTTTCTTTAGTATCTTGAAAAACCAAAAGAATACAATTAGAGGGTGGAAGTATATGATTCAATTTCTTAGACAAAACATATTTTTAAAGTTTCATACTGTTTGTTGCTTTTTCCTTTTTTAAGAAGAAGGAATTTAAGACTCCCTGGAGCCACATCTATTAGAAATAGAAAAATCAATCTTTAATTTTCAAGAAATGTTTTATAGAGCTTTTCATTAAAATGTTTCTGGTTAGATTCTTTGGTAATTTGAAAAAAGAATTTTATATATATGTAAGTTTTTAAGGGGTACTTTTTTTGACAACCTTTAGACTTTCATCTGTGTTGGTTAATTTAGGTTTTCAATAGTTGCAAAGATCAAATAGTACAAAAATGCTTACAATAAAAGACAGTAGCCCTTCTTCTCACCCACCTAAACCCACCTCCCCACCTTGCAGTCTCATTTCACACAATCTAATTTAGATGCTTCTTCTGGTATTTACTGCCATATTTATGAATAATCACATATACTATTATTTCTTGATTGATTCTTTTAGACACTATCGAAATTACAGAAGATGGAAACAGCTCTCTCACCATCATTCTTTATTCTCCAATATCTATCATCCTAATAACAATTACATTAAAAATTCTAGGTCGATAATGTTTATATTATTACATATATTAACTATTTTAAATATTGAGTAAATAGGCATATTGCATATATTGCATTATATATTACACAAATTTGGTTCATAACTGAACTAAAGGGTATGACTATTCTTCCTTTATCATGTATATTTATTTTTACTTGTAGTAACTGTTTTAAAATTTGCTTTATTTACTATACACTTATGGCTAATTTTTGCCAAATGCTCGTACGGACCCATCAAATGATCAGCAATAATTTTTCTCATCATCAAACACATTAACTGAACCTTTTCTTTGATATTCCCTGTATCCTTATGCTCTTTAGGCCCCCGTACAGACTTTTTAAACTACTCTTCCATGTTGGATCCCTGATTTCTGAGCTTGTATCTTTCTTTTTCTTATTATTTTTTAAAATTTCCCCTCCAGTAGCTTTCAAAAAAAGGTGCATGGTCAGTAAATTTCTATTCTCTTTAATTTTCTTCAGCATATAAAGCAGTTGCCTAAAACACTATTTCTTGGGGTACAAGAGCAGAGTTGAGAATAGGCTCTGGATCCAGACGGCCTGTGTTCAAATCCTGGCCCCACTCTTAAGAGCTGCGTAAACTTGGGTAAGCTTCCCGTAATTCTTCCATGCCTGGTTTTCTTAACTGTGAAATGGAGATGATAATCTCCATTGTTGCTGTGAGGATTAAAGGAATTAATACACACAAAACACTTAAAATAGTGTCTAGTGGCTAGCCGGTGCTCAATTTGCATCAGCTGTTATGACTATTTGAAAGTCTATTCCTTATTTGTCTGTAGTAGGCTGTGCTACTTTCTTTTTTGGATGTGCAGATCTTTTGCCTCAGTCACATGTCAGCGTGACCTGGAAACTCTAGTGAACGTGAGCCATCCTTTTCTCAGCCTGCTGTTCTCCCCCAAACTGTGCTTGACTTGGTATTATTTTATTCTTCCACCCATAATATAGACTGGATGTCCATGGTTTATATGCCTTGTCTAGCTTCTCAGCTGTCCAACGGGAGTGGAGAGGGAGCTGGGGCTTTGGGTAACTGCCCTTGAGGTCTTTCCTTAATTCTAATGAAATAAATGCATCAGAGGTTTGCTTCACCAAGTCTGCGGTGTAGCTGGGCTTTTGGCTTGGCACAGGACCAAATATTCTTTGTCTGTGTCCCGTGGAGATTTTCCTTGGTTCAGCTGTAATAATCATTGCTTGCAGATGCTTCCCTCATTCCTTGGCCACCTACTGAGATGTCAGAGGCAGGGAAGATGGCAAACCTTGCTGACTTTTCTTGCCTGGGGGGGAAAGTCTTCTTGATGGAAGAAAGGGTCCCAGCACAGGTGTGGGGTACCCTCAGCCTTCCCTCTGATGTACCTTTATACTTAATGCAGCACCTTCAAAAGCAGTGAGACTTTTCAAAATTCCCTCCTTATACTTCTTCATGTTCCATTCTTCTCTCTGAAGAATATATCAATTTTTAGCATCTTCTTTCAATTTGGTCCAATTTTTCTTCTTCTGGATGACACTTCTCAAAGTTTATAGTATGAAGTTGGAATCCTTTCTTGGTTTCAGGGTTGATGGCATGTTCTTTGTTATTTTTACATTTGGTATTTATTAATCTCACACAATTTTGGGGGAAATAAATTTTGTGAGCTTACAGTTATATCACCAACTTTATCAGAAGTCCCTTAAGCTTTATTTTTTAACATCAGAGAAAAAGTAGCATTGAAAATTACAGAGGAAATGATTCTATGGGAAAAATGATTCATGTATTTTTCCTTATAATCTAAGCATCTTTGGTTTAAACAGATAGGCTTCCGTAAATGTTTGTGTGTGGGGGAAGGATTGTTGGTTGATTTTCCCACCAAGGGTCTGCAGGTTGGAACATAACATATAAGACAGATTTTTTTTTCATTTTCCCTCTTAGTTTAAAGCAGCTTAAACTGTTGGGTTTTTCAAGAGTTATATAAAGCTTACCTTTGTAGAGGACTTTGCCTGATGATACAGCTTCAGAAAGCAGAAAATTAAATGTTATACTAAAAAACAAATGCTTAATACTTATTTGCATATGCCTGAGAGGTTCAACAAACAACAAGGGAGCCGAAAGGGGGCCCTCGTTAAAACAATGCTAACACTAAAAGCGGAACCAGCCAAACACTACGTGCTTTAGGACAGGATGCCAGAGGAGTGGGGAGTTGGACACGTGCCAAAGCCTGCCGGTGAAGTCGGCAGAGGACATACGGTAGAGAGTGGAGTGACGGAGGAGAGGGCAGGCAACCATTTCTGAGGCCGGCTCAGAGGCAATAACTGAGGTACAAGCAGAGAATGCTGCAGCGACATTGCACACACCCTTGTTACGGAGGTGCCAGCCAGAGTGATCCTTTTAAGAACAAAGTCAGATCATGTCACTTCTCTGCCGGACTCTGTAATGGCTCTCCATGTCCCTTAGAGTAAAAGCCAAAGTCCTTACAATGTCCTACGCGGCTCCATGTGGTCTGGTACTGCTCTCTCGGTTGCTCACTCCAGCCACGTTGGCCTCCCTGCCGTACCCTGCACAGGCCAGGCACCTTCTTGTCTTGGGGCCTTAGTGCTAGCTATTCCCGCTGCCTGGAATAATCTTCCCCCAGATATCACATGACTAACTCCCTCACGCTCTCCACAACCTTGCTCAATT